ACAGTTCCTCCAGCTAAATATTTTCATCATATGGCCTCCAGGTGGCATATCAGTGTGTGTTCTTGTGATATCATACTGTGTCTACAATAATCCTTATAAGTATTTGTAATTATAAGTACTTCACTACCTTGAAGTGGTTCTTTAAGGTGGGGCCCCAAGAATGAATGTCCTTGTGACTTAGTCTCTGACAAGGTCAGCTGCTAGATGGCATGTTACAGCTCACACTGAGACAATGAAAAACCTTAGGAAGCAACCATAAACATAGCTCAGAAATGTCAATATTCTAGGTCTGCTAACTGGAATATTATCAGAAAGTTTGTAATTATGACTTTGGGCATTCTGGAATTGTTGAACATAATTTAGTTTATCCTCGGGGCCTCGTAGCCATTACAGGGGCCATTACAGGGGCCTCGTAGCCTGGTGGATAGTGCGCAGGACTCGTAATTCTGTGGCGCGGGTTCGATTCCCGCACGAGGCAGAAACAAATGGGCAAAGTTTCTTTCACCCTGAATGCCCCTGTTACCTAGCAGTAAATAGGTACCTGGGAGTTAGTCAGCTGTCACGGGCTGCTTCTTGGGGGCGGAGGCCTGGTCGAGGACCGGGCCGCGGGGACACTAAAGCCCCGAAACCCTCTCAAGATAACCTCAAGATAGATCCTGGAGCGTTTAATCTTACTTCTGTTTATCTATGCCTCTAACCCAAAATTGATATCATCCAGGAGTTGGTAGCTAGAATTGTTTATAGCGTGAATCTGCAAAACCCAAACATTGCTTACACTTCATAGGACCTTTGAACTGAATTTTGGGTAGTATGAGCCTATTAACATGGACATTGATTACAGTGATCCTATAACATTTTATCCTCAAGAGCCTTTTGATCTGAGTTCTGGTTATTCTGAGCTGCCAATCAGACTTGTTCTTATTTAGAGGGACTTTTGATTAGATTTTTATTTAAACAGAATGTCAGCAAAATTTTTGCATATGTAAGTTGCTTTAGGAAATTTGGTAGTGGTATTTTAGTGTGTTAAGAATTGTATTGACTTTTCTAGGAGGAAAGCCTCACTGTGTTTTCCTGAAGCTATCTTGAGATTGCTTTGTTAAAAGTTTACATCAGTTGTGAAAGTTTTCTTTGACCTACCAGGACTAGTGCCAGAACCTGGACCACTCGCAGAGGTGCAGGGAGTGAATGACAATTCATATGGATGGTTATGGACAATGACAAATGGTTCTTGTACTTGTTTATACAGCATGCCATGGTTGTCATTTGTAGCCTGATTGTTTTTGCTGCATTTGGTGACTGTTCTTCCAGCAAGCAGCCCCAGTACCCGGGATTTCTGCTTGATTAGCTATGTCCTTGTAATTCCCTGGCGGGTCTCTGGCATGGTCCATATGGATCAGCCCATCGAGGCCATGTTCAAATGTGAGCTTGATGGGTATTCGTCATCATTGCTATCTGACGATGATGATTCTGCCTCTGCCATGCTGCTTGCTGGGTCGATAACACCTTCGACCCTGAGTCCTATCAAGTTTCTCACTGGGTCTGCCCTTACTGATTAAGTTTAGATTCTTTTTGATTCTATTTTGCTTGGATTCTTTTGGATATTTTTCAATCCAAAACAACTTGGATTGTTTTAGGGGCCTCGTAGCCTGGTGGATAGCGCGCAGGACTCGTAATTCTGTGGCGCGGGTTCGATTCTCGCACGAGGCAGAAACAAATGGGCAAAGTTTCTTTCACCCTGAATGCCCCTGTTACCTAGCAGTAAATAGGTACCTGGGAGTTAGTCAGCTGTCACGGGCTGCTTCCTGGGGGTGGAGGCCTGGTCGAGGACCGGGCCGCGGGGACACTAAAGCCCCGAAATCATCTCAAGATAACCTCAAGATAACTCCTAGATCTCTCTCTCTCAGAATTATTTAAAGCCTTTCCACATAATTTGTAGGTTGTGTGTGGCTCATTATCTCCTATTCCACATTCCATAACATGGCATTAATTTGCCAAGTGTTACTTTATACACTTACCCTGTTTGTGTATATCATTTCTTGTGGGGCAAGACAATTGTTTGTTTATTATCTTCCCTAGGAGCTTGGCATCAGCAAACATGTTCATATGATTCTGTATTCCTTCTGGTAGATCGTTTACATAGACAACGAACATTACTGGTGCTAGAAGTGAACCCTGTGGTACTCCACTATTAACATTTCTCCGGTCTAACACATTGCCTCTGTCAAAAATGTTTCATCCGTATCTGAAGTCATCCTGTCACCCCTCCAGTATGTTGCACCTTCCAGAACAACCCCCTTATGTGGAACTCTGTTGAAATCCTTTTTTTTTTTAGGTTTAGATAAATGTTTTCAACCCAATCTTCTCTTTCCTCTAAAATCTGTGTGTGTGTATCATAGAAACTAAGCAGATATGTTACACAGAATTGTCCTGTTTGAAGAACTCTTCTGTCTGTTATTATATTCCTCTCTGGGTGTTCAGTCCATTTAATTTTAATTATTTTTTCTTATATTTTGTCCACAACGCTTCTCGACGATAATCATCTGCAGAGTTGTATGCCGGTTTTCTAGGCTTTGTTTTCTGTTTAACCCTCCAGCTGTGTGTAAAACGTCACTGATTTTCTGGATGATGATGTGTGGTGGGGAATTGTCACTCACTCACCGCACCTCTGTGAGGGGTCTAGGTTCTGACTCGGGTCCCTGGAAGGTCCAGGAGCCAGATTCACAAAGCAGTTACGCAAGTACTTACGAACGTTTACATCTTTTCTCAATTTTTGGCGGCTTCGGTCACATTTATTAAACAGTTTACAAGCACAAAAAACTACACAATCAACTGTTGTTATTGTTATAAACAGCCTCCTGGTGCTTTGGAGCTCATTAACTGCTTAATAATTGTAAACAAAGCCACCAAAGATTGAGAAAAGATGTACAGGTTCGTAAGTGCTTGCGTAACTGCTTCGTGACTCTGGCCCTAGGTTGTGACTTGGGCCCCTGGTAGGCCAAACACAACTTTCATGACTGATGTGGCCTTTTAGCATGAAGCCATCTTAGCATGATAGCTTCAGGGAGCCACCAGAACCATACCATAAAGAGGCATTTCATTACATTCAATGTTTTATTTTTAGCCCATTGAGAACCCTTGTGTGTGTTAATATTCAGGTGCTAGAAGTTATAAAGTTAATTGTTTTTTCTCATTGAAATTAGACCTACCTATGATCTTTTCAATTAATTACTGTTGATTTTATACAGTTATTTCAAGTTAAAGTATGACACATGTCACATAGGTTAAGGAATCGGGAACTGCCTCATGTATGACAGGCATCACATAGGTTAAGGAATCGGGAACTGCCTCAAGTATGACAGGCATCACATAGGTTAAGGAATTGGGAACTGCCTCAAGTATGACAGGCATCACATAGGTTAAGGAATCGGGAACTGCCTCAAGTATGACAGGCATCACATAGGTTAAGGAATCGGGAACTGCCTCATGTATGACAGGCATCACATAGGTTAAGGAAGCTTAAGGAAGCAACAACAACTTCAATTTCGAAATATTTTAGATCAATGCTTTATGAAAATTAAACTATTTCTGTTGATTTGTAAAAAACAATAATTGACCAAATCATCATCATTATATTTTAAGAGGAAATGCATCGTGTTAATGAGGCTTTGCAGAAAATTTTGCTTGCCATATTGCAACTTGTCTGATGTTCATTAGAATGATATGATAGTCTAACCAGTACTGCAATGCATAGGAGAGATTTAATTGTACTTTGTCATAAATACAATAGCCACGGAAAAGTTCATACTAAGGCATCACCATCATGTATTGTATGAGCCTACAATACTCTCTACATAAAAGTTATGAACAAAATCTTCACTCAAAAAATCCTAGCTTTATGCCCTTCTTTTTGATAATTAGTTATATTCTCATATTAAAACATTTGCAATAATGTTTTCCACCAGCTCATTGCTTTGACATGTATTTGAATACAAATATACATTTATTATATAAGCAGCTATTTAGATGTAATCAGTGGCTGACAATGTTCAGTTGCATTCACGACTCGAAAGAAATCATTCATGCCTTCAAACTGCTTCAGGTTCACTATACAGCTTCATTATTTGACTTGATGACAGTCAGCGTGAAGTGCTGCATCGTCATCTAAATCAATTTTGCTTTACTTCTTTCTTTGATAATAAGGATTTTTAAGTTATGGTAGTGTCTTATCACAGTTGTAATAACATAGAATAAAATCCCTCACTTATGTATGTCATGTAAAGATATAATTTACGCCAAGTCATTCACCCTTTCCCAAGTGCATTATCAAGGTCTGAGTGTAATTACCTAAGTGTATATACAGGAGGAGAGCTACACTCTTGGTGTCCCGTCTTCCCAGTACTCTTTGTCATATAACGCTTTGAAACTACTGATGGTTTGGGCCTCCACCACCTTCTCACTTAGCCTGTTCCAGCCATCTACTACTCTGTTTGCAAAATAAAACTTCAAATATTTTTTTGGCACCTCTTGTTTCTTTGGCTTGAATTTGTGTTCTCTTGTTGTGGTTAGGACAAGACTTTCATCTTGACGCCAAGTTGTTGAGCTGCTAGTCTTGTCCGAACCATATACTGAGACCTTGATAATGCATTCACAAGAGTGTGAAAGACTTGGTATAGTTCAAATCTTTACGTAAATAGAAAAGTGTGGAATTGTTATGTTGTTAAATTGTTATGAAGTAAGGACTTTGATATCCTTGAGTTATTTGCTTCTTTGCAAATATAATGGCTATCATTAAATAAAAATAAAAATTTTTATTTAAGAAGAAATAATGCACCTAATTTGATTAGAGATTACTTCGAGGCTTTGTATACGAGATGATGCAACACATTGAGTAGCATTGGTGATATCCTGTCATGAACTAGACTGCGTGTGTATTAAGGTCTGCATATAGCCAGTAATTTGTTCACAAATATATGTAATTAATGGTCCGGGGTTCGTTCTAGCCACCACCCCTCAGAGGTCCCCGTACGGTTCGCCCGCCCGCTCTCCGGCGCACACCCCCACGCACACCCCCCAGTACCCAGGTGCGCACAAAACAACCCCCCCACCCCCTCCTCTTCCTATGGTGTACATTCATCCCACCACTAAACTCACCAGTTCATGCACCGTTGCTTCATATTATTCAGTCAAGTATTTTCAGTATTACTCTAACCTGAATTATGCATTTTGGCTTACCCAATTAAAGTCAGAATGCATATTAAAACTGTTAATTATTTGTATTACTATTAAGAAAATTTTTTGAAATTTTGGTCATGTGCCATAAATTTGTGAACTGTAGAGAGAGGGTTTAGTGTTGGGGTGTGACACTGTGGACTGTGGAGTAATTGTCATGTTCACGAATGAAATGAATAAACTTAACAATAAAGATCATGTGAACCCTGTGCATTAATATCGATATCAGTAAGTGTTGCTACCCGCACTTTACAGAGTATTTGTATGAGCTTATGGATTCTAAAACGCACTGATCACCAAGTTGGCTCTTGTTGTTGCAAGCGCGCACACAGTATGTAGTGTCGTAGGCACCTTTCCTCGGAATCTTTGCGTGATTCACTAACCTTCATTTATAGTTTCTTTATACTGAATGTAGATTCTGTAAAATTCTTTTTCTTTGTAACCATGGATGTTAAATATATATATTTTTTCTTATTACCCTTTTCCATTAATAAATTGTCACTCATTACATGTAATAAGCTACTTATAAAGAGCTGTCAGAAAAATAGCTGCATGATATTTTTCATATTGCACCTCAGTAATATAGTTCTTGATGTATTTGCATTTATGTAATTAATTACTTTGTGTTGTGGCTTATCGTTTGCAAGCATAAATTTTAAGAATGTAGTTGGCATACACATAGAGGGTCACATGAACCTGGTATCTTCTTTACTTAGAGAAAAACGGATGAATCAGATCTCATGGACGAGTTCGAACACCCAAGCTTCAACCTTTCATTGATCCTAAAATTCCAATGTTCTGAGTGATAAATTAAAATGCACAATTTAAGAAATGGTTTCTTAATGCGAAGACGGCAGAAACGTGGTCATCACATACTGTAGATCTCTCAAAGTTGTAATATTAGGACACACATTATAGCAAGAGTTTTGCCAGGCATTTGCCAGCCACTGCACTTGAACAACATTTCTTTATACTGTGTGTTTTGTGTCGTGTAAATACTAAAGTATAATGAAAATTTGTCTTTCTAAAGTTACATACAGTATGCCATTAACTAGAAATAATGATTTTTGACAGTGCAGAATTTGTTCATATTAATAGTTTACTCCCTAACAAGCCAGTGTGATGATAAAACAATTCATGATTTAAATTAGTAGATTGTGCATTGTTTTAAGTGTAGCTACTCTATGATTTAGTCAGAGGAATGCTGTCTATCCCAACCCATCCTCTCATTTAATACCCCGGGCTCTTTACGGAATCAACCAATCCATTAAAGTATGACATACAGTATTAGTAAGAATAAAGCACAATAACATTGACGTTTTTCTATGTATCGGCCTCTATATGTTAGGTGGGTTAGTGTGGTTCATAAGTTTATGGTTAGGCAAAACAGTTGCATTTTTATGGAGTGGTTAATTGAGAGAATGGGGCTGTTCAATCTGGCCGTGAAATATTTGTTGTGGTAATTTGTGCGAGTTATTGACGTTGTGTGTACAGTGTTTCTTGCAGTTACAGCTAGCTGTTGCCTGTGATTTATGTATTGTTTTACCCAAATTGAATAGTAATTCCAGTTTCTTGATGTTTAATTGTTAGCATAGTCTTTTGTTACCCAAGCACATTTTGAATTTCCTCTAGATTATCGTTTGTTGTTTAAGTATAATGTGTTGGTTATTTGTAAATTAAATTATGTAGAAAAATGCTGATATCATTAAATACTACTTTTATTATTATCATAGATTTTTTTGCAGGACTTAATGCAGTTGAATAAAACATGAAATGTGGCTAAGTATTTGTGTATGGTATCACTGTACTAACAAGACTATGACTAGTGGTAGATATACTTATGTGCATGTTTAGACATTTAATGGTTCTCTTTCAGCCATCACGTAGCTGTTTCAGTGCTCTTAACCCTCATGTCTATGTCAGCTGAAACTTCAAAGTTAATGGATGACCAGCAGTCTTATCCCTGCTATGAACTTTCTTGGGTGTTGTAGATATGTTTAAGAGTTGTTACCCGCTCCAGTCTAACCGTATCACTTCGTAGAACCAGTTTTAAAGCTGATGTATGTGCTAAGGAACTCTTCTGTAGTTTCTCCAGTATTAAGGTTTCAAATACATAAAGCTAGGAAATAGAAGCATGTAATGTGTATCTGTGTGCATATATATGATGACTTACGGTAGAATGTACAATGAGATGGCCATCGAAACATTGTAATGGACTGTACATTTGGCTACACCTTTTAATCACTTTGTAAAAATTTGTCATCTCTTATGTATTTAAATTCTGTATTTTCTGGATGTTCTATCACTGTGTTTGATGTCATTACTTGGTATGTGGTATATGTACAGTATGGACAATATTTCTTAGACATTTTTGCTGCTGATATGCATTGGAGATTAAAGATTGGATTAAAAAACTCTCCTTGCCAGCCATTGTAGACAAGAACCTAAGCGGGTGTCTGCCTCCCCACCGCATGCTTTTAGGCTTGTCGCTTGTCGACACGGTGCAGGCTTGATGCTACCCGCAATAGGTCGTGGCTTTTTCCCTTAGAAGGCAGGGGCTTTGACATTCCTGTAGACCACTTTGTTTTTTTTGTTTTTTGTTTTTTTAACATGATCATTCTTCCATCCCTCTGCTTCGTCTGTCTACAACTATTGATAGGTTGATATGTTTGCCACATTATTTTCTATTGAAACCCTTAAACATTATTACAGAACCATTTCACAAATCCTGGGGAAAATGTGAATGAAGTGCAATGCTCCCTATTTTGAATATAATGCAACATTTGTTTTAGGCTGCCTTTCTTAAGTTCATATGGTCCTGTAGAGTCATGGGTCATATAACACAGTGGTCTACGTCCTCGGCTCCCATCCCTGGGACTTGGGTTCAATCACCGGGCAGGTCAGAAACAGTTGGGCCCATTTCTTATACCTGATGCCTCTGCTCACCTAGCAGAAAAATCGGTACCTGGGAGTTAGTGTTGTTTAGTGCATCCTGGGGAAAGGATGGTAGTTGACTTTTTGATCTCAATAAGTCTAAGGACACATTTCCTGTCTCAACCCCGCTCTCCTTCCCACCCCCCCCCCCCCACCCCCCCCCCCCCACCCCCAATGAGGAATTATATGCAAATGATGGATTAAGGATATATAGAGTGTGTGTAAGACTGTGCCATCTGTATCAGCATAGTATGACTGGCTGATGTTCTTGAGGGAATTAGTTTTGTTTCTAATAAAATATTATAATGCATTTGTCATGGAAGATGCACATCCAAATAAACATTTAACCTTCCAGCTGCCAAGATTCTCACATAAAATATAAATGTAAGAGAGAAATCAAATACTGGTACAGTATCCTATATAATAATGTCTATGCTGGAGTGCTTGTGTATGATGCTCACGTGATAGTGTTAGTTTGTGTTTGTACCTGGATTATATCTCAATAAGGTTCTGGGAGTTGTTCTCCTCCCCCACCTGGGCCAGCCTTGACTTGAGAGCTTGGTCTAACAGGTTCTTCCTTGGAGTGGCCTGCAGGCCCCAAATATTCACTACAGCCTGGTTGGTCTGGCATTAATTGCAGAAGTGTCTTATATTGCCTAACAATTTTGTTCCAACAATATTTCTTATACTTGCTAGAAGGACTAGAAAGATATTGAACAACTGTGGACCACTGATGTTTATAGTGTTCTCTGATTGTGCCTATGGCACCTCTGCTCTTTACTGGTTCTATTCTACATTTCCTTCCACATCGTTCACTCCAGTACGTTGTTATTTTACTGTGCAAAGTAATACTTGGTTATGTGATAATGTGTATACTAGAACTAGTGTTTATATGTGATGTTGATGTGATAGTGTGTGCTGGAGTATGGATTTGTGTATGATATGATGTGTGAATATTTGTTATAATGTATGATAAATGTATGTATGTATATATATGTAATGTGAAGAGTATTCACTAATGTGTAATTACCTAGGGTAGCTAGGGTAGTTGCAGGATAAGAGCTATGCTCGTGGTGTTCCATCCTCCTGGTACTATGTTATGTGGTGCTTTGAAACTACTGACAGTTTTACCCTCCACTACCGTCTCACTTCTCACTTTAGGTCTTATTATTTGAGCGAGGATAATGCTGGTATTCACAGTCACACAGGACAGGGGATCATATACAAGACAATAGGTCTAAACTGTAGACTGAAACACAGGCCAATGTTTACATCTGACTGGACGCGAATACAGCAACTACGCAGCACAAGAGCTGCAGGATATAATTAATAGTTAGGTGAAAAGGTTGTGGAGGCCAAAATCTTCAGCAATTTCAAAGCATTATATGACAAAGTGCTGGGAAGACGGGACACCACGAGCATAGCTCTCATCCTATAACTACACTCAGGTAATTACTTAACTCATTCCCACTGCCAGCCATTCCGTATGCAAAGTTGAACTTTCTAATGTTTTCTCAGCATGTTTTTTTCCATAGTTTGAATCAATGACCTCATGTTCTTGAAGTTGCTGTTTTCAAGAATTCCTCTTTGTCAGTTTTGTTAATTCCTGTTATTATTTTAAATGTAGTGATCATATCACCTCTCTTCTTTGTCCTTCAAGCTTTGGTATATCTAATACCTTGAGCCTCTCCTCGTAGTTCTTGTTTCTTAGTTGTGGTACCATTTAGTTGGATGTCTTTGCAATATTACCTAGTTTATTGATGTGCTTCTTGAGATATGGGCACCATGCAACCACTCCATATTCCAGTTTTGGTCTCACATAGGTTGTGAACATTTCTTTAATATTTCACCATATATATATTTAAAAGCAATTCTGAAGTTGGAAAGTGTAGCATAGAGTCCTTGCACATTGTTCTTT